TGGATTCTATTAGTTATACTCACGTCTTTAGATCCTGATCATTTATCCAGTCTTTCCATTTCCAGCATCGCCTCATTCTGTGTTTTCTTTATTGTGTCTAATTCAGCTTTCATGCTTTGAACTGTTTCAAGAACTTCCTTCACTTGTTTGGTTGTTTTATCTTGGGTTTCTTTAGCTTCTTTAAGAGATTTGTTTATTTCTTGAATTTTTTGGTTTGTCTTTTCCTCCATTTCGTGTAATTTTTTGCTTGCTTTTTCTTCTATTTCTTTAAGGGATTTTTTTTGTTTCCTCTTTGAAGGTCTCTATCATCTTGCTGAGATAATTTTTGAGGTCCATCTCTTCTTCATGCACTATGTTGGGCTTTTCAGGTCTTGTTGGAGTGGAGTCCCTAGATTCTGGTGGTGTTATATTGGTCTTTCTGTTGTTGAGCGAGTTCTTATTCTGTCTTCTTCTCATATCTTATTCCAGTGAATGCAGGTAGGATCTCTCTGTCTCCTCTTGTTAAGCTGTAGTGTGTGGGCCAAGAATTCAATGTCCGAAGCTCTGAATGGTCTTGTGTCTCCTCGTAGTCTCCTCACTCTCCTGGCGGATCGGTCGCCGGGAACAGAAGAAAGAGTGGCCTGTACCTAGATTCAGGGAGCTCCTCCCTGCCTGGGCATGTCTATTTCAAGCAGGGACAAGCCTGGGGGGATCTGGGTGAATGGCGCTTTGGACAGGAGTTGGGTAAAACAGGGGGTCACTCACCTGGTCTGTGATGAGTCGGCAGAAAGGGAAGGAAGAGTGGGCTGTACCCAGATTCAGGGAGCTCCTCCCTGCCTGGGCGTGTCTATTTCAAGCAGGGACAAGCCTGGGGGGATCTGGGTGAATGGCGCTTTGGACAGGAGTTGGGTAAAAGCAGGGGGTCACTCACCTGGTCTGTGATGAGTCGGCGGAAAGGGCGCCAATATTCTTTTAAGTACTCCTCTAGCCTAAGTTTGGGGGTTCCTTATTCTCTGATTGGCATTACATCTTCTTTTAATAAAGGCTTACTTCAAATAAATCCCAGCATGGAGAGGGGAAGCTGAAATGAAGTCCCAACCCTAGCCAAGGAGCTATTGGCAATTGGTAGCTCCTTTGAGGGACAGCATCAGTTTTAAGAATGTTGCCACTTGTAGGTCAGCCGTGACCCAGTGGAAGCTGCACATTCGTGCATATAGGAACAGCACAAATTGTACTTGATGAGTGAGACAAAGAGAACACGAAATTGGGTGCTCATGAAAAGGGTGAATTTGGGAGGAGTTGGGGGATGGGGTCAAAACTCAACTTATTGAATGAAATTCTTAAGGGACTAATAAAAAGATACATTTTATTTTTTGTGTGTATTTGTGCATATGTGAGAGAGACAGAGAGAGGGGGAGATGGAGAGGAAGAGGGAGCAAGAGGGAGGGAGAGGGAGAGAGAGAGACAGAGACAGAGAGACAGAGACAGAGAGAGAATAGTTGTCCCTGGAGTCCAGAAGGTGCCAAATCCCATGGAGCAGGAGTTATACAAGTAGTTGTGAGCTACCCAGCATTGGTTCAAGAACATGTTCTTAAACACTGAAGTATCTCTCTAGCTTTTACTTGGTATATGGTTCAATAGCCTCTGTGGAAATGAAATAGAATGGCACCTTGGGAGTTGGTTCTTTAATAAATATGATTGTCATCAGGATTCTGAATATATACTGAGGGCATAATGGAAAATGTCTAGAAATCACAAAGAGAAAACTGTCAGGTAAGGAAATAAACATTCAAATTGCAGTAAATATATTTAAAATTAAGTCTTCTACCTGGCTTTGTGCCAATTCTTGAAGAAAGGTTGAGAATGTAAGAAATATATTTTAATTAAATAAGGATTTAAGGAAAGGGCATGAACAAAAGAGCCATACTATTTATGTTTAATGGATACTAGTTGCAGACACAAGCTTAATATTTTAGCCACAGAAATCTAAATTTGAATTTCTCCATACCACATAACATCCAAACTTAGGAAAATGATTAGACTTGTCAAAAGTTTATTTTTGTTATCCTAGAGAATTCAAGTAATGCATTGGCTTTTCCTTCTTGTATTTATTCACTTTTCATCCTGCAATTACTAGGCATTTATTCCTGCTGTACTATTAACAGTGGTAAGTTCATCAGAGACATACTTGTCCAAAGACAATGAATATTTAAAATTTTACCTTATTTGAAAATTTATATAGCTTGACATTATTGATTCAAAGTACCTGCCTTTACTTTCCAGCACTTGCTCCTTTCTTAATTAGCATGGCAGGTAGGTAAAGTTTAAATAATTTCTTGTATAACTTTAGGTTTCCATTCTCAGCCTATGGCTTCCCACTGCTATTTGGGTGATCCTTACCTACACACCTCTTGTAAATAAACACTGATTCTTGAGCAGTAAGCTGAGCTTAAGGAAAGGGTATTAAAGACACTGACTGTAGAGGATGTTTGGAGATGATCTAGGACTGAACTAAAAATCTCTGGATGATGTTTGTGACATTCTAGCAAGCTGTTGAGGACCCAGGGCTTACTGCTTTATGAAAATCTGTACATAACTAGCCTTCAGAAAAGAATAATGGAGAAAGCATTTCAATCTTACCTGCATCCCTGAGATGCCAGTACATTTGTCTGGTAATGACACACAATTCCTCTGAAGATTTGAGTAAGTGATATTATGTGTTGGAATCCCTAGAATGGAAGTTACAGATGGCTGTGAGCCACCATCTGGGTGCTGGGATCTGATCCTGGATCCTTTGCAAGATCCACCAGTGCTCTTAAGCCATTTCTCCAGCCCATGTTAGTAGAGTCCTTAAACTGAACAGGTGTTCTTAGATATATATAAAGTTTCTGAAAATAACAGTTATGCCACAATTAAATTTCACTCTAGTTGCTTGTGGGGAATATTAATACTAAATAGGATACGCTTTGGATTAAGTCAATAAATTACACATTAGCAAATGATCACTATTCTCAAAAAGAATTACTGCTTAGTGCTAATACTTAAATCCTGATTGATCTAGAAGGAAGAAGCTATGCTTTCTGCTTATTCACTCTGGTCTATGTTCAAAGCTGCATGAGGCAAAGATTTGTAGGTAGCTTCTATGATGTATAACAAACTGCGAAGTTTATCACTTCTCTCTCTCTCTTTTCTACACAGAGGATTAAGAGGTTGGTAGCAGGGATTTTGGTGTATGATGGTATACACCAGTTCTGCAAAGCCAAGGTAAGTCACTAATAGGCCATAATCTAGTGTATCAACATAGTGTACTCTTTTTTTCTCTATCAGAGTAGCTACCATTCAATTTCACAGACTGACCACTTCTCCATAAGTAGTGTCCTCTGAAATATTATTGTTTCCAGTGCTCACTCATCTTTCTTATATTCATTTTCCTCCAGAGTAATGGCTTATTATCAGAGATATTACATGGTACTACAATTCTCATACATGCATTTCTGGTTGTGATAGGATTTTACTAAATATTTATGGAAGGGTTATAAAGATTGCTATCGTAGCCTTCCTGAATTCATCTTCAGACCTGTTATTGATGATATTTACCATACAAAATCATTCGAAAAGATCTGGACACACACACACACACACACACACACACACACACACACACAATTGAATCTGTGAGGAACACATTTCTCTTGTTTTTTAATTATCATAATGTTCTTGCTTCAAAATTTCTTGATTGTATGCAAACAAAAGTGACCTAATAATATAGAGGTATAAATTATACATAGATCATAGCTAAATGTCTCTATGAAGGATAATTTTGGTTCTTCATGGATAAAGACTTTGTAGGTGTCAGTGACTATAGCATCTGTGATCACAATTGTGCTAGATTTTAACTTTGTTCTGTATATTGTTGTATAAAGTTTATATTTTCAATTATCAATTTCTGACACAGCTATTTTCCATTACATAAACATTAAGAAAAATCTATCAGCATTTGTAAGTATTTGGTTTCAATAGAAACCTCATTAAAATATTCTGGGTTCCTTAAAATTTCCATTGAGGAATTCCCAGTATATAGCTTGTTTCCTCTAGTTAAAGTTTGTCTGCAGTGTTTTAGGTGTCAGATATATTTCACTAATGAAAATCTGTTGAGCCCTAAATTCTTATAATATTCAGTGTTCTAAAATGAGTTTGCTTCCTTTGTCCACTTGTTCAATATTTTCTAGCAATTCATGAGTTCTTTCCTTATTTATAGCACACTTGAGGCAGTCACAGTGAAAAAAAATAGCTCAAACATTTCACAGTAGTGAACTAATTACTGTTGATTAAGCATTTAACTTAGTATTTTCTTTTCCTTTTTGAGTTACCTCATTGGTTTCAAGAAAGAAAGTATATACTAAACTGAATTTAGTAAATTACACCAAAATTTTATATGGGACATAATACGAGAAGGGATAGAATAGTGAGGAGATCAAGGGAATGGAGAGATGGGTTGGTGATTAAGAGCATCAACTCCTCTTCTAGAGGACCCACATTCAATTCCCAGCACCCACATAGCCACTCACAGAAACTTAACTCCAGCTCCAGGGGATCTGATGCCCTCTTCTGGCCTCTGTGGACACCACACACACTTGGTACACAGACATAATATGCTGGCAAAATACCCACTTGCATAAAATTAAAATAAATAAATCTAATAAAAAGGAAAGTGAAGAGAATGAGATGGATTTGAAGCTGGGCAGTTGGGACTAAGTGTGAAGGTTGGAATTGCATCACAACATTAAAAGTGGCAAGCTTCATAGTAAATTGTGATAGTGACTGCTGGTGATTAATGTTGCTATTCTAGGCAATGACCTGATGAGAAAAAGACTTATTTAAGTTTTAAACAACACACAAAACCTTGTAAGTTTGGAAATGAAGAATGACCTGAAGATGTGCTACAATGATATGATGGTAGGAAGAATGCTGCTTTCTTAGATCCTCAGTCTCTGAAACTGTCTTTAGGTACAAATCCCACCATGTGGTCCAACAACAGTGATGCTCCTTTCTTGCTGACTGGCTTCCTGGGCTTGGAAGCAATTGACCACTGGATCTCTATCCCATTCTTTGTCATTTACTTGTCCATCATTTTAGGGAATGGCACACTTCTCTTCATCATTTGGAATGATGGAAGGCTATGGAAGGCCATAGCCTTCATGAGCCCATGTACTATTTCCTTGCTGTGCTGGCAAGTACAGACCTTGGGATGACACTAACCACGATGCCCACAGTGCTAGGTGTCCTAGTGTTGAACCAGAGGGAGATCGGACACAGGGCCTGTTTCATTCAGTCCTACTTCATCCACTCATTAGCCATTGTAGAGTCAGGGGTCTTGCTTGACATGGCCTATGACCGCTTTGTTGCCATCTGCACACCTCTACATTACAACTCTATTCTTACCAATTCCAGGGTAATGAAAGTTGCACTGGGGGTACTGCTGAGAGGTTTCATGTCTATTGTGCTCCCAATCCTGCCACTCTTTTGGTTCCCATACTGCCATTCCCACATTCTTTCTCATGCCTTCTGCCTCCACCAGGATGTCATGAAACTTGCATGTGCTGACATCACCTTCAACCGCGTGTACCCAGTGTACCCTTGACTTTCTTTCTTGATGCACTGATCATTGTCTTTTCTTATGTCCTCATTCTGAAGACGGTTATGGGTATCACCTCTGGAGAGGAGAGAGCAAAAGCTCTCAATACCTGTGTCTCCCACATTAGCTATGTCCTGGTCTTTTACGTCACTGTGATTGGTCTGACCTTCATCCACAGGTTTGGAAAGCATGTCCCACATGTGGTACATGTAACCATGAGCTATGTCTACTTTCTCTTTCCTCCCTTTATGAACCCCATCATTTACAGCATCAAGACCAAGCAGATTCAGAGGAGCATCCTCCATCTACTCTCTGGACACAGTAGGATTTGCATCAGCATCCCAGAATATGGATGTGATTTCTGGGCTTTTATTGGAAACAAATTTTGTTTTAAGTATTATTTCTTTAGTATGTAACAATACAAAATTTCAATTATTATACAAAGAGGGAAGATAAATCAAGCAAAGAAATCTCTGTTACCCCTGTTCTCTCTCAGAAAGAAATATAGGAGGTAATGATGTACCAGATGTACTAGTGCAGTTCTGTAGCCAAAGGAAGAAAAATCACTTGTTTGGAAATGTAAAGTTGAAAAAAAATCTTGGTTGAGGTACACATTTGTTCATCTGACAATGAGGGAGATGATATGATTTTATAGTCTATTGATTATTTTCTTATACTGAATAGGTTTTTTTCTCCACTGTCTTTTTAGTTGTTAATTTAAATTTGTGCCTGTCATTTTCATACATGTATACAATGCATTCTGATTACTCATGTTTCTTTTGTGTCCCTCCCATATAAATTAGCTCCCTCCCCAACAAGCCCCCTTTATGTTTTTGTTTGGTTTGAGATATAACAGGTTTAACAAGGGCCATCTGCATCACTGTGATACTCTCCATCAGAGCCTAGTGGGTTCACAATCCTTTAAATGAAGCACAGTAACTCCTAATTCTCATAGTCTACCAGTAAGCTCATTTTTGAAAAAAAATTATTTCTATTACTTTGAGATTATACTATAATTACATTATTTCTATCTTCCCTTTCTGATCTCCAACCCTCCTACATAATCATCCTTTCTCATTCAAATATATGGCCTCATTTTCATTAATTGTTGCTACAGGTATATATGTGCCTAAATACAACCTATTCAGTGTGTATAATATTACTTATATATATGTTTTCAGGGCTATTGATGTTGGCTATTCAAGTGGTATGCTCTTCCTTGGGGAAGGTTAATTTTCCTCCTCATTATTCCTTAGTTGTCTGTTGTTCTTTTTTGTATGGTTGAGTACTTGTGAGCTTTTCCATATGAAATATGTCAATCATTGCTTTCCTTATTCAGCTCATGTTTAGGCAATAATGTTGGTGAGATTTTGTGGGCATAGCTTCTGAGAGTCCATCTAATAGCAAACTCTGCTTATCTGCCTCTTACTGATTAGTTGTCAAAATCAATGAAGGAACAGGTTGAGTACTGAAAATTATCTTCTGTGAATCTCCCTGTATACATTTACTGCACAACTGAAATAAAAACAGTGTCCTTCCCACCTGGAACATCTTTCAGACAAGTGTCTCAGTCATCATCTTCATGCTGACACTCATCACCCTGATGCCAATTTCCTCAGTCAGGGGTTCTTTAGTTAGTTCTGGCATCAGAGTCAAGTTCTCAGTGTCTCAGAAGGCAGAATGCTTTATTCTCTCATGTCATGGGTTCTGCCAAGCAGTAGTTGTTTCTGCATCTGCTTAAAGTCTTCTTAGTGAATACACACAAAGTAGAATTGTATATTTTTTGCAGATGTTTTTTATTTGAATTAGAAACAAGATTGTTTTACATGTCAATTCCAATTCCCTCTCCATCACCCCCTCCCCTACCATCCCCCCCAACTAAAACCCTACCTATCACATATCCTTTCTGCTCCCCCTGGAGGGTGAGGCCTTCCATAGGGTGTCATCAGAGTCTATCATATCCTTTGGGATAGGGCCTAGGCCCCCCCCCAGTGTCTTGCCTCAGGGAGTCTCCCTCTATGTGGAATGGGCTCCCAAAGTCCACATCTATGCTAGGGATAAGTACTGAACTTCTAGAGGAGGTACTATAGATTTCCAATGTTTCCTCACTGAAACCCAGATTCCTGGGGTCTGGATCAGTCCCCTGCTGATATACCAGCTATCAGTCTGGAGACCAAGAGCTCCCAGATGCTCAGGTCAGCTGTTTCTGTGGGTTTCACCAGCCTGGTCTGGACCCCTTTTTGCCATCACTCGTCCTTCTCTGCAACTGGATTCCAGTTCAGTTCAGTGATTAGTTGTGGGTGTCTGCTTCTACTTCCACCAGCTGCTGAATGAGGGCTCTCAGGTGGCATATAAGTCAGTCATCAATCTCATTATCAGGGGAGGGCATTTAAGGTAGCCTCTCCTTTGTTGCTTAGATTATTAGCTGGTGTCATCTTTGTAGATCTCCAGACCTTTCCCTAGTGCCTGATTTCTCTTTAAACCTATAATGGCCCCCTCTATTATGGTATCTCCATTCTTGTTATCTTCTATTCTTCCCCCCGACTTAACCTTTCTGCTCACTCATGTCCTCCTCACCTCTCCTCTTCTCCCTTTCTCATTCTCCTAGCTCCCTTCCCCCTCTTCCCATGCTCCCAATTTGCTCAGGAGATCTTGTCCCTTTCTCTATTTTTAAATAAAGATTTTCTTTATGATCTGGCCAGGGTTGTTGTGCTGAACTCAGGATAGACTTTTATATCTTATAGATAAAGCAATTATCATGTGTCAGTTCTTCCTAAGGCTTTGCATGAACTCATTCAGTTGGTGTTTGTGATGATTTAAAGGACAAAATAATCTTGAAAAGACACACAGCTATCCAAAACTCTGCAATTTCACCCGTGGTTTCATTATGCTGAGGCACTGAGACACTTAGCAAAGTAAACATGGTAACAAAGACCACGATTCCTTTCACACCTCTTGATATCTATTATACTCACATATTTGAAATAAATTTACCAAATGTCCAAAGAGTTCACTTCTTTGATTCCCATTTGGCCTCTCTCCTATATGGTTTGGTCACGGACATGCCAGTTACTCACTGGTGCATAGATGGTGATAGTGGATATCTGCAGATATGTGACAGTCTCTGTTTTCCCATGGTGTAACAAGGACATTGGTGGATTGCCTGTTTTCTTCTCAATGTTTTATATCTGTTTCTTTCTTAAGTATCTCACTATAAAATGGACATTGTATAGAGCCATCACTCCAAGCTAAAACCCATTTACTGTTGTTCAAGGACATACCCAGTACTGATCCCAGTAACAGAAGTCACTACTATTCTTTATATTTTCAACTTTGTGATACCACCAAATTCAATAGGTTGTAATTATTTCAGATTATGCCCCTCCACCAAGGATAGTGCTTTTGAGATTCAGTAGAGTTTCTGGATTTGACAATAATTTATTGCTCTTTAACAATAGTTTATTTATCCACATATGAATGTAGCAATTATTTCCCATTTCCCAATTATTTTCAATTAGTGCCAACTCCCATCCTTTCCTAAAGCCATTCCTGAGACATTTTCTTGACCAGAATAGCTCAATAGTCTCATTTTAAATCTGAATCTTTCTTTTTGTTTTTCCTACTCATTTGCCTTATTGAAATCACTTAAGTCTTGAGAGCATTACATTTTTTCATTATCTTTTCTTCAGTTTATATCTCATGAGTCACTCTCCCTAAGCAGTGGGTTTTTATCAGGCTTCTGACAGATTCTCCTGCTGTATTCATTGGCCTTGGCTCCTCAGATAGTCTATCCAGGCCTCTCTGCAGCACTATCAAATGTTATCTTTGCTGAACAGCTACATTCAGATGCATCACTGAAAGATGAGGAGCAAGGAATAAAATGTGAAGAATGAATTAGAGAAGGTGTTAACATAATGCATTAACTTTCAACTCCACAGTGATAGCATCTTTTCAATATTATGAAGAGATCAGAAACTATACAGGTGACTTAAGTGGGCTAAGTATTTTATTAAAAAAGCATACAATGTGAAACCCTGGTGGATTTATCTGTAGACTTTAGTATGTGGTACAAGCTTCTCTCTATTGCTGGTCAGGAGAAACAGTAGAATATCCAGTTTATTTATTACATTTCCAATGAGGCTCTGCCTTTATGCTGGCCTCTACATTGAAACAGATGAAAGCTTAATGTGTCAGTGAACCTCCGAGAGAGAATGAGGTGGACTCAGAGTTTTCCTTAGTTGTTTGTATTTCCTTGTGTAGAGTGGAGGCCTAATGAGCTTTTCCCCATCTACTTTGGAGTCTCTGTTGGTTTTGTCTTGTTCGGTTTAGGTAGTCATGTTGGTAAGACTTCATGGATGCAGCTTCTGACATCACTAGGAGAATATTCTCATAGAAAACTCCACAATCCTTAAGCCCTTACAATCTTTCCAGCCCCTCTTCCACACTATTCCCTGAGCTTCAGGTGTGGGGATTGTTTTGTACATGTATCCATTGTTACTGGCCTAAACAACTTTCTATTTCATTTTTTACAAAATATTTCTCTAAGCCTAAGGATTTATTCTGAAATAGATGTTACTGAGGGCAAAGGAGTCTAAATTCTGGAAAATATGGTAAAATTTAGGACTTTTGCCATTTCTAGTCTGTCTTTCACTGTTTAAGAATTGTAAAGATATGGTTCACTGGGCTTGTGAATGACATAGCATTTCTGATTTTATTTCAGGGGTTTGGGGTCTTGATAGTTTGGGGTCTCTGTGACTAATGATTATGGGAACAAGACCCATCACAAAAGTATTTGCACTCCTCTTCAGTCATCAGGTCCAGTGCCTACGTTCGTCTAAATAGATATTAAAAATAATGTGCTCCTGGCCAAGATTCAATACCTTCCTCTGTCTCCAACCCCATTCTCTCCCTCCTTCCATGCTGCAGATGACTACTCAAAGGCTGGAATGTTAAAGTTTTCCTGTGTGTCCCCAAGAGATTTTCAGCCTCAAACTGTGGCAGGAGCACATATCTAAACTGCAGAAGAACGTGCCTAAGTTAGTCAAGTAAGTTATGCTTATGTATATTTTTATTGATGGAGTCCCCATCAGTTTAGTGGTATCAAGATTTATCTTTACCATGCTTCCCATAGATGGGGCTCATGGAGTTCAATGCTTCACAGTTGCCAGCATCTGAGCACTCAATCTTCCCTCCTTTACAGAATCCTCTATTCTGGTAACACAGTCATTGATCTGCCATGTGGTCAGTTGTCCTTATTAACAGAGTCACTTCTGTTGCATGGCAGGCATTTGTTACTGTATCCTGCTGGTCCTTTCTGGCATATGCTTGATCCAATGGCTTCTCTTTTCTTGACCTCATCACCTCTCTTGTTTCTCCTCTGTCTGGCCATGGTCCTCTTAGTCTGGGTTTGTGTTTA